AGAGAGAAGTACTACCCCAGCGCGTGTTGTAAAAACATCCACTGGAGCAACAGTTGAATTCGAGCAGATACATGCTATAGGGCAAGGAGGAATAACATCTTGTAGGAGTGAGGAAGAGCCAGTTGTGAGTGTGGGGGAAGTTCGTGAGGCAGTAGGTAAAATGAAAGGGGGTAAGGCAGCCGGGATTGATGGGATAAAGATAGAAATGTTAAAAGCAGGTGGGGATATAGTTTTGGAGTGGTTGGTGCAATTATTTAATAAACGTATGGAAGAGGGTAAGGTACCTAGGGATTGGCAGAGAGCATGCATAGTTCCTTTGTATAAAGGCAAAGGGGATAAAGAAAAAGTGCAAAAATTATAGGGGATAAGTCTGTTGAGTGTACCTGGTAAAAATGTATGGTGAGTTAAATTGAAAGAATTAAGAGTAAGACGGGAATAGGATAGCAGATGAACAAAAAGGCTTTAGGAAAGGTAGGGGGTGTGTGGACCAGGTGTTTACAGTGAAACATATAAGGAACAGTTATTTAGATAAGGCTAGAGAGGTTTTTGTGGCTTTTTTGGATTTGGAAAAAAGGGGTATGACAGGGTGGATAGGGGGGCAATGTGGCAGATGTTGCAAGTGTATGGTGTAGGAGGTAGGTTACTGAAAGCAGTGAAGAGTTTTTACGAGGATAGTGAGGCTCAAGTTAGAGTATGTAGGAAAGAGGGAAATTTTTTCCCAGTAAAAGTAGGCCTTAGACAAGGATGTGTGATGTCACCGTGGTTGTTTAATATATTTATAGATGGGGTTGTAAGAGAAGTAAATGCGAGGGTCTTGGCAAGAGGCGTGGAGTTAAAAGATAAAGAATCACACACAAAGTGGGAGTTGTCACAGCTGCTCTTTGCTGATGACACTGTGCTCTTGGGAGATTCTGAAGAGAAGCTGCAGAGATTGGTGGATGAATTTGGTAGGGTGTGCAAAAGAAGAAAATTAAAGGTGAATACAGGAAAGAGTAAGGTTATGAGGATAACAAAAAGATTAGGTGATGAAAGATTGAATATCAGATTGGAGGGAGAGAGTATGGAGGAGGTGAACGTATTCAGATATTTGGGAGTGGACGTGTCAGCGGATGGGTCTATGAAAGATGAGGTGAATCATAGAATTGATGAGGGAAAAAGAGTGAGTGGTGCACTTAGGAGTCTGTGGAGACAAAGAACTTTGTCCTTGGAGGCAAAGAGGGGAATGTATGAGAGTATAGTTTTACCAACGCTCTTATATGGGTGTGAAGCGTGGGTGATGAATGTTGCAGCGAGGAGAAGGCTGGAGGCAGTGGAGATGTCATGTCTGAGGGCAATGTGTGGTGTGAATATAATGCAGAGAATTCGTAGTTTGGAAGTTAGGAGGAGGTGCGGGATTACCAAAACTGTTGTCCAGAGGGCTGAGGAAGGGTTGTTGAGGTGGTTCGGACATGTAGAGAGAATGGAGCGAAACAGAATGACTTCAAGAGTGTATCAGTCTGTAGTGGAAGGAAGGCGGGGTAGGGGTCGGCCTAGGAAGGGTTGGAGGGAGGGGGTAAAGGAGGTTTTGTGTGCGAGGGGCTTGGACTTCCAGCAGGCATGCGTGAGCGTGTTTGATAGGAGTGAATGGAGACAAATGGTTTTTAATACTTGACGTGCTGTTGGAGTGTGAGCAAAGTAACATTTATGAAGGGATTCAGGGAAACCGGCAGGCCGGACTTGAGTCCTGGAGATGGGAAGTACAGTGCCTGCACTCTGAAGGAGGGGTGTTAATGTTGCAGTTTAAAAACTGTAGTGTAAAGCACCCTTCTGGCAAGACAGTGATGGAGTGAATGATGGTGAAAGTTTTTCTTTTTCAGGCCACCCTGCCTTGGTGGGAATCGGCCAGTGTGATAATAAAAAAAAAAAAAAAAAAAAACATGCTAGAATTTCTTTCTTCGTCTTTAGGTTACCATCCACACTTAATCTTATCTTATTCGCCCCATGAGCCCAGAAGGTACATCTGGCACATAATTGTTTGCAAAAAGGTTTTTTCCCTTATGTTAGTCTAACATCCTATTTCAGCTGCTTTTAAGGGTTCCCCCCCAAAGATCCCATCCTCGAGGAGGGGGGGACACGGGGGCCCATAAGATAGCCTTACCCTCGAGTGGGGGGGGACACAGGGCCCCCTAAGATGCCTCCCCTCGAGTGGAGGGAAAAAGGGGGCCCAAAGGCAAAGATGGGCCGGTTTTTAAAAAAAACCACACGGGCTACCGGAGGGTCAAAATGCCTTGTGTTAACTCGCCAAACGAAGTTGCCGAAAAAGAAGAGATGGGAAAGCAGAAGGATAGAAATGTATATAGTTGTTATGTTGGGCCATGTTGATTTTTGGGTGAGGGGGGGAGGGGAAGGAGGGGGGGAGGGGGAAAGGAGGGGTGAAAAAGCAAGCAAGTACCACCTTACCCTCTTGTGGGATGGTGCTCGAAGTAAAGCAAGCAAAGTTTCCTTCGTTGGTAAAAGAACTTCAGGAAAACCCAAGAAAAATCTCGGGGTAACAGTTTTCGATTGCTCTGCTCGAGAATTACTCAGGATAACTGAAAAACAGGAACTACGACGTCTTTTCCCCCACGGGGATGGGCGGCTTTTTCTGTGTTGTTTCTGTGTCGAAATTTTTTGGGGGTAAAGATATAAATGTTAAAAGCAGGTGGGGATAAGTTTTGGGGTGGTTGGGCTATTATTTTTTAAAAGTATGGAAGTTTGGGAAAAGGGACCTAAGGATTGGGATCGAACGCCTAGTTCCCTTTTTTAAAAAACAAAGGGAACAAAGAGTGAAAAATTTTAGGGGGGGTAAGTCTGTTTAGTATACCTGGAAATGATGGTAGAGTTATTATTGAAAGAAATTTAAAAGCAAGCGAAGAGTAGGATAGCAGATGAAAAAAGGGAAATTTAGGAAAGGAGAGGGGGTGTGGGCCAGGTGTTTTTCAGTGAAACATAGGGAAAAATGTTTTTTTTGGCATTTATGAATTTTGGAAAAAGGGTTATGGCAGGGTGAATAGGGGGGCAATGTGGCGATGTTTCAAAGGTGGGGAATAGGAGGGGGTTATGGACGGAAAAGTTTTTATAGGATAGTGGGCAAAAATTTAGGTATGTGGAAGAGGGAAACCTTTCCCCTTAAAAGTGGGCCCTTAGAAAAGGGATGTTTGAATTTACCGTGGTTGCTCGTAGATGGAGTAGTAAGGAAGTGAAATGCGCGGGTTTTGGCAAGAGGGTGGGTTAAAAGAAAAAGAATTAACACAAAGGGGAGTTTTTCGTTGCTCTTTGCAGATGCACTGTGTTTAGGGCAGTCCTGAAGAGAAGTTGCGGGGTTTGGGGGATAAATTTGGGTGGGTAGTAAAAAAAGGAAATTTAAAAAGTGAATATGGGGAAAGAGCACTCGGGCCCTTGGTAGAGGGAAGTTCTCCTTGGGATGAAGCGTCGGTTCTTTTTGGAGGGTCTTCTTTGTGTACTGTTGGGAGGGTGCTGATTTGTTTTGTGGTTTCGTGGTTGAGAAGGATTTTTTCTGTCAGGAGCTAGATTCCTGTTTCATATAGTTGTTCTTTAGCTTGTCTAGCTTGACTTAATGCCGCAGGTCTTCCACCTGACTCTGTCTCTGAGTCCGGGTCCCGTGAAAAAGGGGAGGGCTTTGTTCTGGTTTTTGTGTGCAGGGTGTTTTTGTTGTTGAGACAGGTATGCAAGGGTTTCAAGAAAAGATCTGATCATCTTATAGGATGTTTCTGATTGGGAAAGAGGTTTCTTTGTATCGGAATAGTTGCTAAGGCGACCCTTTGCAGGTTCACTTTTTTGGTGAATTAGATGTGAATGAAGCAATTACCGATTTTTTCCCCCAGGTCTTATTTTTTTGCTGATGACAATACTGAACCCTGCCATTGGTTGATGCGAAACAGCCGTTGGGGCTGATGGGGACTTCATGGGGTTGTTGTGTTTCTCGATTTTTTCTCCCAGTTAGAGTTCTTCTTAGTTCCTCTTCATTTTCTCTTTGTTCCTATGCTTGTTTGCACCAGTTTGGGGGGTCTGAGACTACATGTAAATTGTCTGCAAATTGCGTGATGAGGGTTTACACTGTTTCAGGATGGGGGAGGTCGTTTACTATATTTTGAAAAGTTGGGGTGAGGCCATGCGGGACTCAAGCTGTCGGGGGAAAGGGTGCTGTGCCTTACCATGGAAGGTGTGAATGATGCGTCTGCTTGTTAGGAAATTGAATATGAGCCTGAGAAAGGTCCAGTTGTGTTCCGGGAGGTCGGCAAGTATGAAGCTGAGTCCACTGTGCCAATGGCTGTCGAAGGCTTTGTGTACGTCCATAGTTGCAATTAGAGCCAGGTTCCCTTGCTTCCTCAGGCTGTCCACTGCATCAAAGATATTTATTTCATGTTGTGTGCCGCGGTGGGACCTGAAGCAGAACTGCTTTTCGGTGAATAGGTTGAAATGTATGAGAGTATAATCATACCAACGCTCGTCTATGGATGTGAAATATAGGTTATAAATGTCGCAACAAGGAGAAGGCTGGAGGCAGCGGAGATGTCATGTCTGAGGACAACGTGTGGTGTGAATATAATACAGAATATTCGTAGTTTGGTAATTAGTAGGAGGTGAGGGATTACCAAAGCTATTATCCAGAGAGCTGAGGAGGGGTTGTTGAGGTGGTTTGGACATGTAGAGAGAGTGGAACGAAATAGAATGGCTTCGAGAGTGTATAAATCTGTAGTGGAGAGAAAGTGAGGTAGGGGTCGCCCTAGGAAAGGTTGGAGGGAGGGAGTAAAGAAAGTTTTGTGTGCGAGCATCATTAATGCTACCTAAAACTTGTTCACTATCAGTCAACATTACTTTAATTAATAACTAAAATACAATATACACAGTAAATTGTTAGCAAATATACGATGAGAGACAAACACTGCTTGGTGTATATATGTTCTTGAAGTATTTGTAATATCCCAAACCTCAATAAATTTGTTGTACAACCTGGTGCAGGAATGGTGAGTGCTCTGGACGAGGCTGCGGGACGGGTGGTGGACGCCCTCAAGACCACTGGTCACTATGACAACTCTGTCATCGTATTCACAACAGACGTATGTAAAATCAACCACTTGTACCGTAGAAACTTCAAGATGAACAGTTATGTGTTTTCTCACATGTTATTAATATTGTAATATGGTGAATGTCTTCTCTTTCTCTCCTACATGCAAGTGCATACTGCCTCTCCTGACTCTGTTACATGCAAGTGCATACTGCCTCTCCTGACTCTGTTACATGCAAGTGCATACTGCCTCTCCTGACTCTGTTAAGTGTAAGTGCATACTGCCTCTCCTGACTCTGTTACATGTAAGTGCATACTGCCTCTCCTGACTCTGTTACATGTAAGTGCATACTGCCTCTCCTGACTCTGTTACATGTAAGTGCATACTGCCTCTCCTGACTCTGTTACATGCAAGTGTATACTGCCTCTCCTGACTCTGTTACATGCAAGTGCATACTGCCTCTCCTGACTCTGTTACATGCAAGTGCATACTGCCTCTCCTGACTCTGTTACATGCAAGTGCATACTGCCTCTCCTGACTCTGTTACATGCAAGTGCATACTGCCTCTCCTGACTCTGTTACATGCAAGTGCATACTGCCTCTCCTGACTCTGTTACATGCAAGTGCATACTGCCTCTCCTGACTCTGTTACATGCAAGTGCATACTGCCTCTCCTGACTCTGTTACATGCAAGTGCATACTGCCTCTCCTGACTCTGTTACATGCAAGTGCATACTGCCTCTCCTGACTCTGTTACATGCAAGTGCATACTGCCTCTCCTGACTCTGTTACATGCAAGTGCATACTGCCTCTCCTGACTCTGTTACATGTAAGTGCATATTGCCTCTGCTCACTCTGTTAAGTGTAAGTGCATATTGCCTCTGCTCACTCTGTTAAGTGTAAGTGCATATTGCCTCTGCTCACTCTGTTAAGTGTAAGTGCATATTGCCTCTGCTCACTCTGTTAAGTGTAAGTGCATATTGCCTCTGCTCACTCTGTTAAGTGTAAGTGCATATTGCCTCTGCTCACTCTGTTAAGTGTAAGTGCATATTGCCTCTGCTCACTCTGTTAAGTGTAAGTGCATATTGCCTCTGCTCACTCTGTTAAGTGTAAGTGCATATTGCCTCTGCTCACTCTGTTAAGTGTAAGTGCATATTGCCTCTGCTCACTCTGTTAAGTGTAAGTGCATATTGCCTCTGCTCACTCTGTTAAGTGTAAGTGCATATTGCCTCTCCTGACTCTGTTAAGTGTAAGTGCATATTGCCTCTCCTGACTCTGTTAAGTGTAAGTGCATATTGCCTCTGCTCATTCTCCTACATGTAAGTACATATTCTGTACTCTATCTCTATTTTATACAAAATAGTGCTAGTCTGTCTTAATCATTCTGTCTTACTCTGTCTAATCTGTCTGTCTCTGTCTTTGTATTTCTGTTTGTCTCCTGCCTCTGTCTCTGTATGTCTGTCTGTCTGTCTGTCTGTCTGTCTGTCTGTCTGTCTGTCTGTCTGTCTCCTGTCTCTGTCTCTCTCTCTCTCTCTGTCTCTCTCTCTCTCTCTCTCTCTCTCTCTCTCTCTCTCTCTCTCTCTCTCTCTCTCTCTCGTATGAAATTATTTCACAGAACAAGTACAAAGCTGCAAGAATCATTGTGTAAAACTGTGTGTATAACTATTACTTAGAGTCCTCGTCATGGCATTATGCCGGATGAGCACCCGGCGTATTGCCGTGATGAAAATCGAAGGCCTACCATACAAGGGGGTCTTTTTTCGCCAGTGCATTCTGCTGGGTAGCAGATGTTAACGTGACGTCACGGCCTTCTACCACACTTCACAGGGACTTCTCATTGCTCACTTGGCTGCCGTGGTGAGAGGAAGTGTTGCGCTTTTGTGTCTCATCCGTCCCATCTTTTGTCCGGTGTTCCCTTTGGTTTTGGGGCTATACATCTTTTATTATGTGTAAAAAGAAGTCGTTAACACCTGAAACTCTAGTTCAAATCATAAGGCTTCACAAAGCTGGGCACCAGACAAAAGAAATAGTGAAGAATGTTAGCGTCTGAGAGCGTTCAGTGAGGAACTGGGTTCAGCGCTTCAAGGCTGGTGGCGGTGTCTGAGTTATCGTCCGCCAAACCTCGGCCTGGCCCCTCGAAAAAGACATCTGTTCATACCTTAACTGTGTTAAAGAAGCAGGTAGAGAGTAACTGCTTCTTAACACAGTTTGGCAGACGATTGACTCGACACCCGCCACCAGCAAATACTCCCAGATGCGGCTTCTATTCTTCGGGTTGCCTGTATCATATAGTGAACCCTCTTGAAGCTACCACTGAAACTGTTTAATTATCTTGTATCTCTCATGGGCTCTATCTACGCCCCTCATTTCTTTCCTCCAAGTCTGCCAGATAGTTGGGCCCTTAGCCAATTTACTCTAGTGGAGAACAGTCATATAATGTACCTTTTACACTGTGGAACTACTGTCCCCACTTCCGCTTGCCGATCATCGGCACCTGGGCCTGATGGCATTCATATCCATATACTCCAGCATTTATTTCCGTCAGCCTTTGCAGTCCTCTTATGTCTGTTTAATCTTATTTGGATTGCAAGTTCTCCAGCGGTGGAAATCTGCCATTGTTCTACCTTTTCGTAAACCATGTAATTCGAGACATGATGCCTCCCACTATCATCTCATTGCTTTTACCAGTGTAGTTTGCGAGGTGATGGAACGTCTGGTAAATTAACGTTTGATGTAGTATTTAGAGAGATACAATAGTCTCTCCAACAGTTAATATGGCGTTCATAAGGGCCACTCTACTAATTGACCCATTACTGCTTTCAGATACTTGTTCATAATGCCGTTGCCAAATAACACTAGTTATACCATCCTTTTGATATTGAGAAGGCATAGGGACAAAACTTGGAGATATACCATCTTAGCCAAGTTCATCCTTAGGCCTCAAAAGCAATTTTCCTTTTTTTCAGTTTACATTCCTCGAGACAGATGATCAATATTCTTGGTTGCACTAATATGATGTAAGTCAGGCAACCGCTTCCTGATGGAAGCAATGTTCCTTAAAAAGATTTGTAATGTATCCATTGTAGTGAGTTTTACAATCTCTTGCTCATAAGATGGTAAACTATTATGTTTTGCTTACAGTGTGCAGGCACTTAAGAGCAAATAGCATAGTTTATACGTCTTTATCTCAGGACCTTTTTCTGAAAGCATTTCTGGGCATCTTGGCTGCCAATTCCAAGGCAATTTTTGAAACCAAAAAGTCATTGGTTTCTTTTCTTACAAATTGCTTGAAACTGAATGGAGATTGCTGCACTTTTAACATCATCACTGTATCAGACCCATCGTCTTAACTGCTATATAAAATTTATCAGCATCTGTTCAAGACGCTCAATTTTTTCTGCAAGTTTGTTATAATTTAAGGAAGGTCAGGCGAATCAAATGCCTCCCCAGAGAAAGGCACTTTTGAGTTAGTTCTTTCTAACCCCTATCATCACAGCGGGTACCATTGTTAGTGTTCTCTGATGGTGCCTTTTGCATGATTTACTCATCATTTCATTGTCGGTTGGTCCTGTGCACCTAACTCATCTCCAGCTTCCAGGGCTTACATGTGTAGTGTCCGTCTGATTTTGTAGATGTGTGTATTGGGAAAGGTGACAAATCATCCCATTTTCAGGTGTAGGCGTAGGTATCAGTAGGGGCAGTTTCAGTAGTTTTCACATGTGCTAGCAGGATGGCTAGCTCCTCCACAGCTGGGTGTGTGATGGCATTCTGGTATCCCCAGAATCCTTTGCAGTGAGGTTGGGTTCTTCCACACTTTTTCAGAGGTTCAGTCTCAGATCTGGCTGTGTTAGACTGGATGGCTTCACCTCATTACCATTAAAGGGTTGTTATCAGGTTTATGTCAAAGGGTTTGGTTTGGGTTCTGACTGCGTCCTGTGGGAAACTGTAACCCAATTTTGTTACAGTTATACACGTAAATTTTTTTCCTGTCAAGGCCTACCGTGCATTCTTAGTGAAATGTACTACACCAAAAATGTAGTATTTCACAGACTACTACAAATGGCCAGAGTGCTGACATTTGTAACACCTACGGTGAGAGGTTAGGTACACTTTGATTGGCGGGAAACGTAGGCCAGGCATTTAGATATTCCGGGGGAGGGGCACAGGGCCTCCCCATCTTGCAATAATTTAGGATCTTCCTTTAAGTCTTCTAGGCTTGATGATATGCTCAATTAGAGTCAGATGGGATGGGTCCAGAAAGATGGGGTATAAAAACATTATGATACTGACCCACTTTTTTAAGGGGTGAGTGTCTGATAGAGGTCGGGCAGCTTAATACCTCCATGAGGTGTATTTAAATAGATCACTGATAACTTCATCATTCTGTTCCACAGACACAAAGTTGTGCGAGTTTTTTCTATTGGATCCTTGACTTAGGTGTTTCATTACTGCTTCCATTAGCCATGCACACTTAGCAGGCAGCAGGGTGTTTGTCATGCACACTTAGCAGGCAGCAGGTTTGTCATGCCACTTTGCAGGCCCAGGGTGTTGTCAAAGCACACTTAGCACGCGCAGGGTGTTGTCATGCACACTTAGCAGGCACCAGGGTGTTGTCATGCACACTTAGCAGGCAGCAAGGTGTTGTCATGCACACTTAGTAAAGCCCGCAGGGTGTTGTCATGCACACTTAGCAGGCATCAGGGTGGTTGTCGTGCACACTTAGCAGGCAGCAGGGTGTTGTCATGCACACTTTGCAGGCATCAGGGTGTTGCCATGTGCACTTAGCAGGCAGCTGGGTGTTGTCATGCATACTTAGCAGGCTGCAGGGTGTTGTCATGCACACTTAGCAGGCAGCAGGGTGTTGTCATGCACACTTAGCAGGCAGCATGGTGTTGTCATGCACACTTAGCAGGCAGCACGGTGTTGTCATGCACACTTAGCAGGCATCAGGGTTTGTCATGCACACTTAGTAGGCAGCAGGGTGTTGTCATGCACACATAGCAGGAGCCAGGGTGTTGTCATGCACACTTAGCAGGCAGCAGGGTGTTGTA